TAACCTTGATTAGTAGTTAATACTTAATCCTTTGCATCACCTAAGGACTTCTTTATACCATCTAAGGACTCCTAATCTATGGTGATAGATAGTAGCAGATTAATGGCTGCTCAAAGTGGAGAATGGAGGATTAAAAAAAAAACAAAACAAAAACAAACCACACACAAGGAAACTTTCTGTAGTGATGTAAATGTTCTATATCCTGATTTAGGTGATGGCCATATATGTGTATATGAATTTGTAAAAGAAAAATCAGTGGTATATAAATATAAAATAGATGTCTCTTTTTAAAATATAAAATAGATTTTTTTATTATATACAAATTATACATCAACAAATTTCATTAAAAATAATCCAGTGATGCTATTTTTAAAGCCCTGCTATTTGCTCTGCTTCAAAAAAAGATGAAAAGAGTACACAGAGTCACTGTACCAAAAAGAAGTGCCTTTCATAGAAGAATTGAAGCAACATATGACCAAGAGGCAATGGGAATGAAAGAGGTAGTTAAAGCATCTTTGAATGATTTGGCAAAGAACAAGACCCTGGGAATTGATGGAATACCAATTGACATATTTCAACAAATAGAGGTAGCCCCACACGTGCTCACCAGGTTATGGCAAGAAATCTGGAAGACAATCTGGAGGCTAGGTGACTGGAAGAGATTCATATTTATTCCCATCCAAAAAAAGGTGGTCCAACAGAGTATGGAAATTATCTAACAATAACACTAATATCATATGCAAGGAAAATTCTGCCGAGCATTATCCAAAACTAACTGGAACAGTGCATCAACAGAAAACTGTCAGAAGGGCAGGCTGGGTTTAGAAAACGAGGCCATGATACTAGGGACATTATAGCCAATGTCAGATGGATCTTTACTGAAAGCATAGAGTACCAGAGGAATGTCTATCTGTATTTCTTTGACTATGTAAAGAAATTTGAATATATGGATCACAACAAATTGTGTCCAACTGCTCATGAAAAACCAAAAAGAATTGGCCTTCACAGAAGAATTGAAACAACATATGACCAAGTAACAAAGCAAGGAAAAACTCCATGGTTCAAAACTGGGAAAGGAGTGTGTCAGAGATGCATACTGTTTCTATACCTTTTAAATCTATCTATAGAACAGATCGTTCAAGAAGCTGGGATTTATGAGGAGGGATGTGGCATCAGGAATGGAGGAAGACTTATCAACAATGTGTGTCATGCAGATGAAACAATCTTACTTGTCAAAATGGAAGAGTACCTGAAACATTTGCTGCAAAAGGTCAAGGACCACAGTCTTCAATATGGACTGAAGCTCAACATCAAGAAGATTCTCACCACTGGGCTAATTGGCTCCACCATGATAGATGCAGAAGAGACTGATACTGTGAACAGTTTCAGCTTGCTTGGTTCCACAATCAACATTCTTGGCACCAGCAGTCAGGAAATCAAAAGATGAATTGCATTAGGTAAATCTGCTGTCAGGGACCACTCGAGAGTGCTGAAGAGTAACGAAGTGAGGATTTAAGGTGTACCTGATTTAGGCCACAGTCTTTGCAATTACTGGGTACACATCAGAAAGCTGGACAATGACTAAGGATGATAGAAGAAGAAACAATGCCTTTGAGTTGTAGTGCTAGAGAAGAGTACTGAACTTTCCATGGACTGCCAAAAGAACAAACGAATCTATCCGGGAGAGGGTGAAACCAAGTTTCTCATTGAAGGCAAGGATTTTGAAGCTTTGTCTCACATACTGGGCATCTTGTTAGGAGGGACCAGTTTTGTAAAAGGACATCATGCTTGGAGGGGCAGAGGGATAGTGCAGGAGAGGAAGACCTTGGATGAGATGGATTGACACAGTAACTGAAGTGATCGGGGCAGGTGTGTTGAAAACTGTGCGATTATCTCAGAATAGGGCAGGATTCAAAGCTATTGTGCTTAGGGCCACTATGATTCACAGGTGACTCAATGGAACATAACAACAACTACTCTTCTGGAAGTCTTTCTTGTTCTGTGGGTCCACTATGAATCCTCTCCTTCTTTAACCACAATCCCCTGTGTTTATATGTTCAATCTGGGAATTCATCCTGCACTGTGATCTGACTTAAAGCCATCACTCTTTGACTTTTTTTATGAGCTCATGAATCGTTCCCCTACTAGATTATAAATTTCTTGGTGGTAGGAAAGGTTTTCATTTCTCACTATATCTTTCATGGCATTGAGCTCACAGACACTACACATCCTCAGTTGTCAGGGATGATTTTCATGGCAAGTGCACCTGGCAGGGAAAAGAGTGATTCACCAAAAGGGCAAGGAAGTATCCATGGTAAACACCCAATGGCTAACAAATACTCTACATCCCAGCACACTTCCTCTCTTGTTACTCTCTTCTTTCTCCAAGATATTTATGATTATCTCTAGGGATGCTTTAAGCTGTCGCTTTGAGATCTACTAGTGCAGTCATGCTGGACATACTCTTCATTTATCACACTGATCCTCTGTTTCACTGATCCAATGTTTTATTTCTTTTAGAAGGAACCCATCTCTTAGTTAACAGCCCTCTCCATAGAGAATGCAAGACAATAGGTGTATATAGGATTTAAAGATAAAAGGCTCCCTAAGCTTCAGGAACCATAGGTCTTTCCTATCTGAGTTCTTCTTACAACTGAGCTTCACCAGATTCCTGAGCTGACCAGCCCTGACCTTGTGGGCTAGTCCTGGACCTGATCTTATCAGGTCTTGTCCTGAAGAGGACTCATCCAGTATTTGTTTGTAAATGTTAACCAGGTACCTACTGTGAGGCAGGCACTGTTCAAAGCATTTATGACAAAGTGGGGAATTAAATAAGCAAAAACATCCTTAATCTGACTGAAGAGGTGATATTATTGTGATACTGTTGGAGTTAGGCATGATCAAAGGTAACAGATAATAAAGGAGGTAACTTCCCAGTATAAGTGAGATGAAAATGAAATGGAGTATTGTGACCAAAGTGATGACTTCTTGAGATTGATGGTCAAATGGTCCTCTCTGGGAAGCAACATCTGTGCTGCGAGTGGAAAATTCAGATTTGAGGCAAGAACATTCCAGATAGTTGTTGTTTGCTGCTGAGTCAGAACTGATTCATAGCTGATCCTCCAGTAGGCTTTGATAGGCTATAAGTTCCTTAGGAGATTGTTCATTTTTCTCCTGCAGAGTAGCTGGTGGCTTCAAACATTTGCCTTTGGTTTGGCAGTGTTACTCCTTACCCAGTAGGCCATGAAAGCTCCCTCTTCCAGGCAGAGGGGAAAACAAGTACAAAGGCTGTAGGAGAGGAATAAACTTCAACTCAACTCAGCTCAACTCAACTCAACTCAACTCAACTCAACTCAGCTCAACTCATTACTATAGAGCCACAACCAGCTCACAGTTAAACCCTCCAGCAGGTTTTTAGAGGCTATAAATCGAATGGGAAGAGACTAATCACTTCTCTCTCACAGAGGAGCTGGTGGATTTGAACCCAGCATTGAGTTGACAGTGTAACTGCTTACCCACTAGGCCACCAGAACTCCCTGGAAGAAGCTTCTTGTTAAGTACCATTAAGTTGAAACTAACTCATAGTTGACCTTTCAGTGAGTTTTCAGGGGCAATAAGCCACATAGGAGAAGATTACTTATCTTTCTTCCATGGAGCAGCTGGTGGATTTGAACCAAGTGCCTTTGGGTTGGCAGAGCAGTTCCTAACCTCTAGGCCACCAGGAGCTCAGTGTGAAAGTGAGGAGGGTAGTCAACGGGAAGTGAAAAGAGACCAGATAATGTGACCTTGTGTGCCATGAGGAGAAGTTACACTTTATTCCACCTATGCAGAGCAGATTATCCGAGAAGCTGGGCTCTATGAGGAGAATTGTGGCATCAGGATTGGTGGAAGATCTATTAACAATCTGCGTTATGCAGATGACACACTCCTGCTTGCTGAAACGGAGGAGGACCTCATGCACTTGCTGCGAAGGGTCAAGGACTGCAGCCTTCAGTATGGACTGAGGCTCAATGTCAAGAAGACAAAGATTCTCACCACTGGACCAATTGGCAGCATCAGGATGGACGGTGAAGAGATCGAGATTGTTCACAGCTTCAGTTTGCTCGGCTCCACAGTCAACACTCTTGGCACCAGCAGTCAGGAAATCAAAAAGCGTATCGTGATGGGAAAGTCTGCTGTTAGGGATCTCTCTAAAGTACTCAGGAGCAATGGTGTCTCTCTGGAGACTAAGGTGCGCCTGATACAGGCCATGGTTTTTGCAATCACTTGTTATGCATCAGAGAGTTGGACAATGACGAGGGAGGACAGAAGGAGAGTGGATGCTTTTGAGCTGTGGTGCTGGAGAAGAGTACTGAATGTACCATGGACTGCCAGGAAAACAAACAGATTCATCTTGGAGAGGATTAAACCAAGCTACTCCTTGGAGGCAAGGATTCTGGGGCTTCGTCTGACATACTTTGGACATGTTGCCAGGAGGGACGGGTCCTTGGAGAGGGACATCATGCTTGGGAGGGTGAAGGGACAGCGCAGGAGGGGAAGACCCCCTATGAGATGGATTGATTCCGTGACTGGGGATGGGTGTGTCAGAGGCAGTGTGGTTGGCGCAGGATAGAGCAGGGTTTAGGACTGTTGTGCATAGGGTCGCTATGAGTCGAAAACGACTCAACGGCACATAACAACAACAACAACATAACCAGAGGCCCTTAGGTGCTTTTAAACCTACTCTCCAAGTCCTTTATGGACAAGGCCCAACATTATATCATGATTTTCCTTCTCTGGACCTAGAATCTTGGTTAAATTCTCCAATAATATTCCCAGCAAACAGGTTAAAAAAAATCTATGTATCAGGGTCTCTTTTTGTGCTACTGACCTTTCTCAACAAACAAAACTAAGACTGTGGCATGCCCATTGCATGAGATACCCACATCAAACAGGTTGAAGTGCTACCACAAACCCAGTAGAGACCACAGCCATTGCTCATAGCTTCCACCCTGACTCACCTTCACCGAGGGTCTGCTTGAGTAGGTCGTGCTTGGCCTGTAGCTTTGTGATGAGGTTACTACCATTTACATATTCTTTAAACTTCTGTAAGACACAAAGCATAAGGAAGGTGAAGATTGCAGGGCCAGGTCACAGGACATCAGGGGAGATTGCGTACCGATAGGGCCCTATTTGGACTTGCTCCTCTCTGTAAAATTCCAAACTTGGCCAAGAGGCTGTTGGGTCTTTTGTGGGCCCCAGGAAACTCAGGTCAGGAGTTGTGAACCCAAAGAAACCTTGAGAGGGGGAGCTGTGAAAGCAACTTTTAAAATATTTAAAAAATTATTATTATTGGCTTGCTTACAAAGTCATTATACATTGTGTTTCATAGTATTCTTCATTCACATTGTGTTTCATCCAACCATTCTCATGCTTTAAGTTTTATAAAATTAATCACCATTTTTGTTAGGCTTGGCCTGCAGGAACAAAAGCAAGGGATCTCTCTGACCCTCAGAGCTGGCTGTGCTTCTAGGCCAGGAGAAATAAAGATGGGGATTGTCCTGGGAGGGGCTGAAACAGGAGGTCTTCTCTGGGTCTGCCAGAGAGGAGTCTTGGAACAAGCCTTTCTTTTATCTGGTTTCACATTGAAGGAGAAAGGGCCTTGCAGCATCTCCTCCCCACCAAGAAACTTCCCTATTGAAATCATTCAAGTCACATCTGGTGAGACAATTTTACTTTTTACAGAAGTGAACCAGCAAGCGATTTGTCTAATGTCCCCTGGTGACAATCTGTGCTGGGGCTGGTTAGGTAACCAACCACAAAGGTGTTAATTAGTGTACCTGTGTGAACCTGTTGTTGTGTGCCTTTGAGTCTGAACTGACTCATAGCTGACTATCTGACAGGTTTTCAGGGGCTGTAAATCACACAGGAGGAGACTGCCTATCTTTCTCCCATAGAGCAGCTGGTGAATTCCAACCACATGTTTTTGTGTTGACAGCCTGGCACCTTGCCAGTAGGCCACCTGAGCTCCTAGGATGCACTTAGGCATGTTTCCAACAACTCTGCCTTTGCCTTTGACCTAAGGGCTACATACAGAAGACACAGAACTCAAAGGGCCAGCATATGTATTGAATACCTGGATCAGGACTGTGACAGTTAAAGACTGAATCACATCCATTGAGAGGGACTAATTTAAGAGTTACCCAAGAACCAACTCTTAAGAGGTCTGGTTTAATGATGTTATGTAGGGAACAAAGATTTAACTGATCTAATTCAGCTTCAAAATAACAAAAAAATTTTATAGTTTTAAGATACACACACAGGAGCATAGCACTTCATACAGAAGCTGTGCAAGCTTTGCTCTAGTTTGTACTAGCTGGACCACTGCTGGCAATTTCACTTTTTGAGATTTATAGAGAGACCTACAAATCAAACACATTCATAAGAGAGCACCTAGGATAACAAGGCCACTCAGAACAAAGCTTATGAGGCAACATTGAACGAAGTGGATGTGTTAAGCCTGGAAAAATGAGAAGCTGGCTGCCAGCAACCCTGAGCCAGGTTGTCAAGTAGCATTACCTTCGCTCTTGGCAGCCCTAGCAAATAGAATCAAGATCAATAGCCAGAAACCTTAACAGAACATATTTTTTAAGGCAACAAAGAAGAGAGAAAATATTCCTGGCAAATATGCGGAAATTGGTAACTACAACACAAATGAAAGGGCTTTTTTGGGGTGGAGGGATTGTGAGGGTGCCCAGTTAGAATCTGGATGGTCATTTGGTGGGGATATGGTTGAACAGAATCAAGTATCATAAGGAAAGTTTGGATTGGGGTATTTTAACGTCTTTACAGTTCTAAAATTCTATGTTCAGTAACACATCTTGAATTAATTCCCCATTTCCCCCTGCTCCTCTTGGCCCCTGACTATTGAATGAGATATAAGTTATCTGGAACTTTACATGGGTAGCCGGCAACTGATGACTAAATTGCTTAGACGAGAGAGGATATTGTTGTCTTGAGTTGAAGACATCACAATTCATGCATGTAAGTTTAGTTCTCTGGGCTTTTAGCCATTTTCCCTTCATCCTACAAAATATGACTCTCTCTTTTTTAGATAGTAATCAATCTAAGGTCAAAGCCAAAGCTTCAGTAAATAAGTCACTTTGTGTACTTCAGTAAACCAAGCTAGGCAATGTAATTTTAAAAGAATGGTAGGAGACTCTTAGGTCTCATTGGCCCAGATGGCTTTGTTGGTTTGCATTTGTTTGAATTTCTCCCCAAATGTCACTGCTGGTGGATCGTTGGACACTGGATTTTGGGTCCAGGCCCCCACTTACTGTAAAATAAAACATCTCTGTTTCCTGCTGATTGGCTCTCCTTTTGGCAATGTTGATCTTGCTCATGTAGGTCTCAGAAGCAGCAGACTTTATGGACTCTGTAGATCGACTGTGTTGGAAGGCATCAGAAACATCAAAGTCCTCCACTGTCAGCATGTCTTGTAAGGTCTGCATGGTGGCATCTAGGGTTTTTCTAACCTGGGGGAAAACAGTGTATTAACAACAACAAAAATATCTTATTTTGGTCACAACTTTTGCATTTGAGTTTTTAATCCCAGTTGTTCTTCTATTTTTTTTCCTCATAAAGTCCCACAAATATAGGCAGGATAGGTTATTATTCCTGTTATAGTGATATGAATAGCTAGGCAAATTCACCAAAGCCCCAGAGGACCAAACTTGCTTGGCAAAGAGCCAGGCTGTGTAAAGAGCCAGGTTGCCCAATCAAATAATTTTATTATAGTACCTCTGTCACAGAAGACCTTGGAAAATGTTAAATATGAAGAAGGAATCCAAGTTTATAAACTTGTTTCTCTTTCTTTAAATACATTTTTTAAATTTTAATTGTGATTTTAATGAAAGTTTACAAAAAAGTTAGATTTTCATTGATTCGTTGTTGTATAATTACCACCACCACCACCCCAAGTCTCCTTTGCAATGTACCTCTTATTTTGGGATGTTATTGTACATTATCATATATTCCTTTCAAACAGTTCTTTCCTTCATCTGTTCCAGTGAAATGTTTATTATCTATACACACTTATCCTATTCTTCTCATAAATACTTATGTCAGACTTGCTTTAGAACAATAGTACTATGCAGTATTTGTCCTTTTGTGACTGAGATATTTCATTCAGCATGAAGCATTAAAAGAAGATGGAAAGAGTATACAGAGTCATTGTACCAAAAGAAATTGGTGAACACAGAAGAATTTCATGAAACAATGTATGAACAAGAGCATGTGGTGATGAAGGAGGAAGTTCAATCTGCTCTCAAAGAACTGGCAGAAAAAACAAGGACCCAGGAATTGATGGCATACTGATTGACATATTTCAACAAAGGGATGCTGCCCTGGATGTGCTCACCAAGTTGTGCCAAGAAATCTGAAGGATTTCTGGCCTACAGACTAGAAGAGATCTATATTTGTTACCATTCCAAAGAAAGGTGATAAACAGAGTGTGGAAATTATTGAACTAGATCATTGATATCACATGCAAGCAAGATACTGCTGAAGATCATCCAAAAGCAACTAGAACAACACATCAACAGAGAACTGCCTGAAGAAGTGCAGGCTGGATTTAAAAGAGGCCATGGCACTAGGGTTATTATAGCTGATGTCAGATGGATCTTGGCTGAAAGCAGAGAGTACCAGAGGAATGTCTATCTGTGTTTCATTGACTATGATATGCAAAGGCATTTGACGGTGTGGATCACAACAAACTGTGGCTGACTCTGAGAAGAATGAGAATCCCAGAACACTTGACTGTGCTTGTGCAAAACTTATACTTGGACCAGGAGGCAGTCATCAAAACAGAGCAAGGAAACACTGTATGGTTCAAAATTGGGAAGGGTGTGTGTTAGGGATGTCTCCTATTTCCATATCTTTTCAATCTATATGCAGAACAGATTATCTGGGAGGCTAGGTTCTATGAGGAGAAGTGTGGCGTCAGGATTGGAGGTAAACTCATCATCAATTTATGTTATGCAGATGACACAACCCTGCTTGCTGAAACTAAGCAGGACCTGAAGCGTTTGCGGCAGAGTCAAGGAATGTAGCCTTCAATGTGGATTGAAGCTCAATGTCAAGAAAACAAAGATTTTCACCACTGCTGCCAATAGGCAACATCATGATGGATGGTGAAGAGATTGAGATTATTGACAGCTTCAGTTTGCTTGGCTCTGCAATCAACACTCTTGCCACCAGCAAGCAGGAAATTAAAAGATGAATTGCATTGGGAAAGTCTGCTGTTAGAGACCTCTCCAAAGTATGGAGGAGCAATGATGTCTGTCTAGAGACTAAGGTGTGCCTGATATAGGCCATGGTCTTTGCCATTATTTTCTATGCATCAGAGAGCTGGACAATGACTAGGGATGATAGAAGGAGAGTTAATGCCTTTGAGCTTTGGTGCTGGAGAAGAGTATTGGATATACCATGGACTGCTAGGAGAACCAACAAGTTCATCCTGGAGAGGGTGAAGCCAGGCTGCTCCTTGGAGGCAAGGATTCTGAAGCTTCGTCTGATATGATGCAAAGAGGGACCAGTCCTTGGAGAGGGATGTCATGCTTGGAATGGTGGAGGGACGACACAGGAGAGGAAGATCCTTGATGAGATGGATTGATTCCACCACTGGGGTAGTAGTAGTATTGGAGACAGTAAGATTGGCAAGGGATATAGCAGGGTTTAGGGCTGTTGTACATAGGGTCGCTATGAGTCACAAGTGACTCTATGGCACATAACAACAACAACAACAGTAACAACGTCCTGCAGGGTAACCTATGTTGTATAATGTTTTATGAGTTCTCTTTATCTGATTATGTGGTCTCCAACTAGTTCCTCCAGTAAGAGGTAGGGCACTCAAGTAGTGACAAAACTAGAGATATTTTTTGTTTTCTTCATTTATTTATTTTTTTTAAATTTATTCTATTATTTTTGCTTGAGTGTACCATCAAATCAGATCTGACTGGTACAGGAGGAGATTGTCCCTCCTTCCCCGGCAGATCATTTGGTGGATTCGAACCATGCACCTCTGGGATTGTAGTTGCAGATCCTTGCCACTAGGCCACCAGAACTCCCTGTTTTCTTCATTTATAAAAGAGAAGAGATGAAAAGTCTTCATAGCAATGGTTAGCCATCCTCAATAAATAAACACTCGAGTCACCTGCTACATGACAGTTGTCTAAAGACTTAACTGAGAAAAGAAAAATTCAAGGAAGACTGATACCTTTTGAGTCAGTCCTTCAGCACTCCACTTTCACTCCTAGAATCTACTTAGACTACCAGGTCTTGTAAATAAGGCATTCAACAGATGCACAACCTGCTATACATATCCTGAAGGTTGGCAGTTTCGTGTAAGCTACAGGCTCCATGAAAGAAAGACCTGATATGCTGCTCCCATAAAGATTACAGCCTAGATAACCTATAGAGATAGGGCATTTCTACCACGACACATGAAGTCACTAAGAGTTGGAATACCATATATACTTTTAAAAGAAAAAAACTAAACTTTTTATCATCCATATTCATTGTTTCATTCATGTACATATTTTATATAATCATACATTGTGTTTGATGTAATTAATTATTAATCAATGTTTTTTAATAACCCTGTATTATCAAGTCCCCATTGCCTATTCTTTCATTTCCCCCATTCCATCCACTAATCTCATATACTTTTATGGAAGGTCATTTTAAAAAGGTGCCAAAGAACTGTATATATGTTGTAAAAATTATGATCCATCAAAGGCATTTTTCTCATTCACATTTCAGCTGAAAGACCCCTCTGACTTCTGCTCTTGACTTAGTGCCTATTATGAGTTAATATGTATTTCCACCTCCACCTTCCACTCCACCAAATGTGTTAATGTTCTAATTCTTTTGAATGTGACCTTGTTTGGTAATACTTACTGAAGATGTTGTTATACTGGTATAAGTTGGGTCTGAGATAAATAAGAGAGATGTCTTTTAAAAGAGAGGAAGAGACACAAAGAGATACAGAGAGAAGACAGCCTGCAGAAAAGCATATAAAAGCTAAGGATGCTAGGATTGCTAGCCAACAACAGGAGCTAGGAGAGAAGCATGAAGAGATTCTCCTTCAGAGCTCTCAGAAGGACACCTTGCTCTTGTTCTTATGAGTCATCTAATTGTGATATTTTGTTATAACAGTTTCAGGAAACTAATCCAGTGGTGGTGGTTGTTGTTGTTATGTGCCATCGAGTCGCTTGCGACTCATAGCGACTCTATGTACAACAGCCCTAAACCCTGCTCTATCCTGTGCTAATCCCACTGCCTCTGACACACCCATCCCAATTACCCCAGTCACTGAATCAATCCACCTCATAGAGGGCCTTCCCCTCGTGCGCTGTCCCTCCACCCTCCCAAGCATGATGTCCCTCTTCAAGGACCATTCCCTCCTTACAACATGTCCAAAGTATGTCAGACGAAGCCCCAGAATTCTTGCCTCCAGGGAGCATCCTGGTTTAACCCTCTCCAGGATGAATCTTTGTTTTCTTGGCAGTCCATGGTACAGTCAATACTCTTCTCCAGCACCACAGCTCAAAGGTATCAATTCTCTTTCTATTCTTCCTAGTCATTGTCCAACTCTCTGATGCATAACAAGTGATTGCAAAGACCATAGCCTGTATCACACGCATGAGGCCATAGTCTTTATAATTACTTGCTATGTATCAGTGAGCTGAACAATAACTCTCTGGATGACAGAAGAATTGATGCCTTTGAGTTGTGGTGTTGAAGAAGAGTCTTAAACATACCATGGACTGCCAAGAAAATAAAGAAGTGTGTCCTGGAGAGGGTGAGATCTAGTCTCTCCTTGGAGGCTAGGATTCTGAAGCTCCATCTCACATACTTTGGACACATGGCCAGGAGAGAGAGACTGGTCCGTGGAGAAAGACATCATGCTCAGAAGGTTGGGGGGACAGCACAAGAGAGGAAGACCCTTGATGAGACAGATTGATACAGTAACTGGGGCAATGGTGGTTGATATGTCAGAATCAGTGAGACTGACTCAGGACAGGGCAGGCTTCAGAGCTGCTGTACATAAGGTTGCTATGGGTGGCAGGTGACTTGACGGCCCAAAACAATTACAACAACAATCCCTTTCTTATGTATTAATTTATTATTTGGTTTTTGTATTTTAATTACCATTTGTCTTTTCTCATGATAATATAAACTACTTGAGTTACTGTTGTATACTATGGAGTCAGAGAAGCTGGTAGATTGGAACCTCATACCTTTGAATTGGCTGCACAAATCCTTACTACTAAGCCACCAGAGCTTAAACTCTGCAAAAGGAAGTACTTTGCTGTCTTATTCTTGACTCTGTATCTAGAGCAATGTTTGGCATGCAGGACATGCTCAATAAATAACTATTGAGTTGATAACTTGAATAACTATTAAATACTTGCTGAATATATGAGTGAATTATCTTTTCTCACATAACTGGACATAAATCTCAGGTTTAACA